GCGCCGACAACCTCGGCACCCCTCCAGCCGTCCGAAGCTCGCGCCGAAGGCGGCTCCGTCGATGATTGCAATCGCTTCAGCGGGGGGGCGACCCCAAAAAGGCGAAACCCAAAGCCGCGGGCGAATGCAACTGCCGTGCGCGTCGCCGTCAGCGAGGAGCCCGTCAGCGCAGATCCAGGACGTCCGAGAAGGAGAGTGACAATCCCTGAGAGCCTGGCAGTTGCACTTCTGGTCGCAGTGGGCGTTTTCGCCCGGCTACGGGCCCCGGGACCCTCACGGATCGGTCCGGCTCGAAACATGCAGCAGCAAGATGGTGTCTGAGGCTCCCGTGGTGATTTTCTGCGATGTTTCAATTTTTGTTGCAACGTCGGATCTCGGGGACGACGAGGGATTGACGATCTGTCCTCTCCGCTCCCCTCGTGCCTGCCCCCCCTTCCCCCCTCCCCTCCCCTTCCTCCTCCCAGTCCGCAGGTGTTTCTCCAGCCCAGGCGGGCAGCATGCGCGCGCACGCTCACTCCATGGAGCCGATGCCGCCGCCGTGACCGCAAGTGGGGGATCGCGCTGATCACAATCCAACGGCCCCATCACATACCATCACAACAGGAAAGACCTCCCCATTTCACGCTACACCGGCAATGTGCAGCGAGGACGTTTTCGCCCGGGGGCGCGCACGCCCACACACGAGACCAAAACAAACAAGCAAGCCAAAAGAAGCACGAAGCGACATGCAAGAGTTGGGCATCGCGTAAGAAGATAGCAACGAGAACGAGAAGAGTTGAGTAGTTCACATGGGCGTCCAGACGCAGTACGTGCTGCGATATGGGGTTGAAGAGAGGTAAGACCATGAGTAAAACCGACCCAGATCATGACCCCCCGAAGGCCCCAGAAGGTTCTGGATGCCTCTGGAGGTCAGAACCAATCCAAAAACGTTTAAGATCTTGCATAATCTATCCTCGAGCGTCGTGGGCAAAGCGCAGGCTCCCCCTCCCCGTCCCATCCGTTCTCCCTCTTCCCACCTTGTCCTCTCGTTTCCCTCACCGAGCGCCTCCGTCCCCCTCTCCCGCTCCCGCCTTCCCACCCTTCTCCCAGGACCTCCTCCTCCTCCTCTTCCTCCTCCATTCCTATTCCTTGAAGTAACTCCTCCCTGTCGCACCCCGAGGTCAGTTTTTAGGGCGGGCCGGACGTTTCGCCTGAGACTTCCTCACCATTTATGATTCTGAAGTTTTACAGAATGGCCACAGCTTCACTCATGGAGAGCAGGTGGTTTTCAAAATGTGGCTCTATCCTTAGCGCCGCGCACACTCGCTTTAAACAGTTGCAAGGGGTTCACGGATTGAAGGCGGGTGGTTTTCAAAATGTGGCTCTCGCCTTAGCGCCGCGCACACTCGTTTTTTAAATTGCAAAGGATTCACGGATTGAGGCTGGTCGTTTGCAAAATGTGGTTCTCGCCTTAGCGCCGCGCACATGTGTTTTAAGAATTGCAAGAGTTGCGGCTGCCCGCTACGAAGGGAGCTCCCTACGGGGGTCCCCCCCCCGAGAAAGGCCCCCCCTTACGAAGGCGGCCTTACGAAGGGGGCCCCCGCGAAAGGGGGCCCCGCGAAGGGGCGCCCCTACGAAGGGGGGCACCTACGAAGGGGGCCCCCTACGAAGGGTTCGAAGGGGGCTCCCGAAGGGGGCCTCCCACGAAGGGGGCCCCGTACGAAGGAGTTCCTTACGAAGGGGGCCCCTTACGAAAGGGGCTCCCGCGAAAGGGGGACACGGTGCTTGGGTCTGCCCGGGGACGAAGGCCCCGGGTCGATTCGGGCGGCCCCGGGGCGAAGACCCGGGGCTTGCAAAAAAGTAAGGCAACAAAAACAAGAGAACAGCAGAGGGGGCAGAGACACGGAAGAAAACGGGAAGAAGAAAGGCGGGGGGGAGGGAAAGGGGGAGAGCAGAAGGGGCAGCAGAGGAAGCAGAGCGAACGAAGGAGGGGACAGAAGAGCAAAAGGAGGGGGACGGGGGAAGACAGCAGGGGGCGGCAAGGGGAGCGGCCGAAGGGAGGCAGCAGGGGCAGCAGCCAGAGTTTGGAGGGAGGGGGGAGGGAAGGAGGAGGCAGGAAGGGAAAGGGCGGGCGGCGGCGACGACGACGACGGCGGCGCCGCCGCCGCCGCCGCGGCCGCGGCCGCCGGGGGGCAGCAGGGGGCAGCAGGGGCACCGCCGCCGCGGCCGCGGCCGCGGCCGCCGCCGCCGCGACGACGGCGACCGCCGCGAGCCCCGGCTCAAGCAGGCGCGCCCCGCCCGGCCCCCCGCCCCCCGCGCCGCGCGCGGGGCGGCGGGGGCGCGGGGCGGCCGCCAATGCGAAGGGAGCGTCGAGAGCTTTCCGGGAGCGTGCTGTCCCATGGTGCGCCCCGCTGTCGCACTGGACGGTTCATGTTTCTTGTGCCTGGGAGCTCGTTCTCCTGCAAGGATCTTCAAGGCTGTCCGCCATCTCTACAGCAGGACCGCTGCCCTGGGTCGGCCGCCCTCAACACCGGGCACGCCTGGCGGGCGCCAAGACTACGCGTGATTGCGCGGGCAGAGCTCGGGTCGGCCGGGCCACGCGCGGTTGGGCCGGTTCCTCAGATGCTCCGAGGCCAGGCGGTCCAGCCACGTTCGCATTAGGCATCCGCACACAAGTTTGACCTCGGACCTCGGAGATGCCCTGCACCGTGGTGTTCTGGTACATTTCGCGGCTTCGAGATCATTACGCTGGGCTCGGGCGGTCACGCCACTTTCGTTTGAGACACTCCCGCAACCGATCTCGGAGATGCCCTGCCCCATTGCGGGCCAGCCACTTTATCTTCAGAAATGTTCGCATTTTTTCATGTCGTGGCGCCCTGAGCATAGGCGGTCAGGTGTTTTTCACCGGATATATAACTGCCCTCCGAGATGCGCTGCCCCACGGTGGCCTGGCCAGTTTCGTCTGAGACATCCTCGTCACTCTGGTTTCGGATATGCTGCGAGGTTAGGTGGTCAGGCCATTGTTCCCTGAGGGGCCCTCGCAACACTGATTTCGGAGATGTCCTGCCCCATTGACGTCCAGCCACGTTCGCCTGAGACATATTTGCAACTCTGGGTTCGGAGGTGCCCTGAGCAGTCGGCCCGATCATTTTCAGCCGGGGCATCCTCGCAATTGACTTCGGAGATCTCTTGGCATTTGGCGGTTGAGCCACTATCGCATGAGACACCCTCGCAACCCAGGGCTCCGAGATGCCTTGCGACGAAGTGGTCAGGTCATTTGCTCCTGAGACATCCTCGCGCGATACATAACCGAAGTTCTGACCACGCCTAGTGTTGGATTGGTGCCGTCGCCTACCACATCCATTATGTTGGAATGCTGTTGCCGTTCGAGCGCCAGCCACCCACTTCCCTCGTTCCCCCCGTTCCTTCCTACATACCCGACCGTTTTTTCGGTTTGCTCGTCGTCGTCGTCGGAGGAGGAGGAGGAGGAGGGGGAGGACGAGGAGGAGGCGGAGGAACCCGAGGACAAGGAAGAGCAGGACAGGGGGGGGCCTGGGACGAGGAGGGGGAGAGGAAATCACACGCAACGGGGGGCGAGGAGGAGGAGCCCACATCCAGTTAAGACACTTCGCATTTCGCACCTCGGATATCGAACGGATCGCGGCTATCTCCGTTACCGTGTTTGGGTAATGGGTCAGAGGCATCCTGAGTGTTGGTTTTGACTTCGTGATTTGCTTCTCTGGAGCCTCTTGAAAGCAACTTTGGCGCCCGAGACGCCCTCGCAAGTCTGAGTTAGGAGATGTCCTGCCCCACTGAGGTCCAGCCACTTTCGCTCGAGACATCCTTGCAATTCTGGGTTCGGAGGTGCCCCGAGCAGTCGGTCCGATCATTTTCACCCAGGACATCTCGCAATTGTGACTTCGGAGATCTCTTGGCATTTGGTGGTTGAACCACTATCGCATGAGACATTCTCGCAATTCTGGGTTCCGAGATGCCTTGTCATGAAATTGTCAGGCCGTTTTCCTTTGAGGCATCCTCGCGTGATACATAACCGAAGTTCTGATCACGTCCTTGTAATGGATTGGTGCTGTCGCCTACCACATCCCTTATGTCGGAATGCTGTTGCCGTTCGAGCACAAGCCACACGCACTTCCGTCGTTCCCCCCACTCCTTCCTATATGATTCTCTCCTGTGGTACTTTACCTCGTCCTTCGTCCCTCCCTCTTCCGAATTTTCGGCTTAGTGGCGCGTGCGGGCATGTGTGTTCATGGCTTCACAGTTTTGCTAGACTGGAAATCAGATTGTGTATCGGGCAGTGTTGCATATGGGCGTCTGTGCGGCAATGCTGTTGAGCTTTTTGCACCGGTGCATGGGGAGGTGCATGTGTTTGTGGGGCATGTGCGTGCATGTGCGGCTCGCTCTGGATATCAGAACGGGCATAATGATTAAAATTTGAAACCGAAGCTATGAGTCCAATGTGCGCTCCAGTGTGCCGTTTGCACGGTGGCGGATACCACTCCGTCCTCCTCAACAGCGACGGCTCCGCCGTCGCGAGCGGCAACACTGACGATGGTCAATGCGACCTGCCCGCGCTGAATGCGGACGCGACGTGCACGCATGCTTCCGCTGGTTTCTACCACGGCGACAACATGCCATCCATAGACCACTGCGTGCTTATGTTATGTGGCGGCGCCGGAGGAACGCCGGAGCCTGGTGAACTTACGTCCGTTTTGGATTCGATGGCGTCAGCCCAATCATTGACCGACGCGATGATAGCGGGAGGGTTTTGAAAACCGGCGCCAGTTTGCGAAAAGTGTGGCGCTGTCAAAGTTGCGGTGCCTGACGGTGACCGCATTCGATGGAAATGCGTGCGGTCAACAGTGGAGACGGGCGTGGATGGTGTTCCCCGGACCCAGAGATGCCGGTCCAGCCGCCCGTCGGTGTTGCAAGGTAGTCCCTGGCACGATCAATCGGGCAGAGGTGTCCCAGCACGAAAAGTGACAGTCATTGTGCTCGCCTCGATGCAAGGGCTCGACCCAGGAACCATCGCAGCCAGGGCCGACGTGGGGACGCAAGTTGGGACAGAGGTGTTGAACCGCCTGCCCGCGAGGACATGCGTGGAGGCCGCCGCCTCCAGCACTGGGTCAAAGAGAAGGAGAGCTGATGGCTGCGATGACGAGGGCGCGAGCGCCAAGGATTGGCACCGGCCAGTAGCGTGGAAGAAACTGTGCGAGGAGATGTCTCGTTTATGGAACTTGGATTGTCAAGTGGCGGTGACGATGGCAGCACGCTGCTACGTTGTGGTTCGCACGGGGTTGAGTATGGCGAAGGATCGCTGCGGCGATTTAGACGTGGATTTGCTGTCTGCCGGCAGTTGGGTCTCGCAGGAGTCCTTGCGAGAGTTCACATCTACGACCAACGACCGGGAGCAGTACCGTTGCTCCACGCACGACGTGGATTTACCGGTTTCTTTCATGTCGGCGCGCCAGATGCTGAATCTCCACGAGGTCTTCAGCGTGCATGATCCTGTACAGGTGCGCGCGCGGAGCTGCATCGCGCAACGTCGCGGAGAGGCAACGGACGATACAAGCAGCGTGGCGCACTGGCGCTCAGTCTTGCGGGCTGTGATTATCATACACGCTACACGCCGGCGCGAATATGCCCCGTGCGCCGTTGGCAACAGTTTGGCGTCAGAGCAGGACGCGCTGGGATGTTTCGTCGGATCCAGTCGAGAGGACCCTGAACTCAGGCGCCAGCCGACGAGCGAAGGTAGATTTTTCTGCGGCTCGAAGTCTGTGGTTTTGGGTGCACTAAACAGGAGCAGCGTGATGGGCACTCTCGACGGCGGAGATTATTCGCGGGACTTCGAGGATATGGTAGTTTTCGTTCAGCGCTCTGTGGCGGGGGCCGCAAGTGGCGCCGTGGACGCGCCGGTGCTGGATCATTGTCGGGACAGACTGAAAAATTGGTGTGGTTTCGGGGGAGCGGGCAACCAGCCGGGCGGAAATGTGGACGGCCTCGTTGCCAAGAACGTGGCCTTCCAAGGTCTCCGGAATATTCTGCACCATTTCGGGTTTGAGCATGGGGCTCCGCAGGCGTTTGTTTCGGGGTCCAATCCGTGCAAACTGGCGCGCGTCTACTGGCAGACAGCGCACCCGTCACGGGAGCAGCAGGTCGCCATGTATACGCGGCCGTGCTGGAGGGCGTCGAGGGGTGCGTCGTCTCGCATGGCGCAGACGCGAGTCGTCTCCATTCGGTCGACGCAGTCGTTCTCCAGGACAATATGTGAAAAGCCGTGGAAGTGTTACAAACGGTCACTACGGGCCGCTTCTTCGGCAAGGCCCGTCTTTCGTCGCTGAGGCGATTCGGAGCCGCCGTTGCGCCTGAGCGTGCTCTGTCCTCGCCGGATTGCCCGGGCGACGATGAGGCTGGGTAACATCTTGGGCACACAACTGCGATCTCCAAGAAAAATGAGTGCCCCCTGGGCCGTCTTGGGGCCTTCTTGGCCGTCTTGGAGCTCTCTTGGCGCCCTCTTGGGGTGTCTTGGGGCGATATTGAGGGCTTCTTGGGCCGTCTTGGAGAGTCGGAAAGCCGAAAAGTCGAGAAGGGCAAAATCTTTGAGCAAAAATTGAAAATGAATGATTGTCACTTCTCGGGGGCTTCTTTTGGGAGACTTCTCGAGGGCTTCTTGGGGCTGCTTTTCGGCGGCGGCTCTCTTCTGTAAAAAAGAAGCCCGCGCTCGAACATCCCTGCAGGTTCTCTGGAGAGAACTGCGGGAGATGCCGTGCGAGGAAGGAGGGGGGGGGCGGGGCGAGGCCACCAGTGGTCGGGGTAGGGGTTGTTGGTGGCGGTGGTGGCGGCGGTGGTGGTAGTGGTGGTGGCGGTCGTGGCGTGGGGGGGGTGGGGGTGGAGTAGGTGGGTGGGTGGTGGTGGCGGTGGTGGTGGTGGGCGAGTGGGTTGGGTGGGTGGGTGGGTGGGTGGGTGGGTGGTGGTGGGGTGGGTGGTGGTGGTGTGTGTGGTGGTGGCGGGGTGGGGTGGGGTGGGTGTTTTGGCGGGGCGGGGTGGGGCGGGGCGGGGTGGGACGGGGCGGGGCGGGGCGGTGCGTGAGAGGGAGAGGGAGAGAGAAAGAGCGAGGGAGGAGAAAAGGAGGGGGAGGAGGAGGAGGAGGAGGGGGAGGAGGTTGGGGAGGAGGAGGAAGGGGAGGAACAGGCGGACGACAACGACAGCGAAGCAACGCAACAACAAAAAGCGGATGAGCAGGAGGAGGTCGGGACATCATGAGTCCAAAATTTGAGTAATATTGGGAAAGCGAGCAGTAAGGCCCGAGGTAGGTTTCTGTGGTCTCGGGGGCACTCCGGCAGAGCATCGCCCCTCCGTCATTCATGGTGTTTCCTTTTTTCCGAGGCCGAAGTTCGCATTTCGATCGATGCATAATCAGGTTTGGTATGAAAAAAACTTCCGAAATGTCCCTCGGATATCTCCGGAGCCTCGAGATGGCCCGAGAGGCGCAGGTGAAAGCAGGAGGCTTTCTTATAGTTTTGTTCCACGGACTATAAAAAAACGGTTTCGCTGCAGACACCCTCGAAACTTTGGAGGATCAGGATCGCATAGGATGACCCAAGTCTATGGCATCGAACTGGGTTGGGGCCCCTTGTATGACCTTCATCCTGTTCATCCTCAATGTTATCCTGATGTTTGTTCCTCCCACGAAGACCTCAGAAGCTTCGAAGACTTTTTTCTCCTCCTCCTCTTCGTCGTTATGTATCCTCTGTTCCGCCTCCTGCCTCTGCTCTCCTCCTACACCTCCTCCTCCTCCTCCTCCTCCTCCTCCTCCTCTTCCTTCTTTTCCTCGTGCTCCTCCATATCATGATCATCATGCCATTCATCCTTCTCATCTTCAACCTTTCCCTGATCTTCTTCTCAGACGAAGTCGTTGGACCATATGAGCTCAGCGAACCTCGGAACCCAGAGTTGCGAGGATGTCTCAGGCGACAGTGGCCTGACCATTTGACCGCAAGGCATATCGGATCCGAGAGTTGCGAAGATGCCTCAGGCGAAGTGGATGGACCATATGAGCTCATTGCATCGCTGAAGCCACAGTTGCGAGGATGTCTCAGGCGACAGTGGCCCGACCATGTGAGCGCAGGGCATATCGGATCCCAGAGTTGCAAAGATGTCTCAGGCGAAGTGGATGGACCGGCCATATGATCTCACTGCATCTCTGCACCCAGAGTTGCGAGTGAATTGCCTGCATCTCTCACCCAGAGTTGCATCACTGCACTTTGGGCCTCGCCTGTGAGTAAATTGCAAGGAGGTCTCAGGCGGGAGCCCCTCCCTATGGGGCCCGCGGATTATGTTACTAATCCGAGCGGGCCATCGGGATCCTGTAATTGTCGTCACTTTCGGGCTCCTAAGGCATGAATCTGGAGGAAGTCAGGCGGGGCCTCGCCTGTGAGTAAATTGCGAGGAAGTCTCAGGCGGGAGCCCCTCCCTATGGGGCCCGCAGATCACGTTACTAATCCGAGCGGGTCATCGGGATCCTGTAACTGTCGTCACTTTTGGGTTCCTGAGGCATGAATCTGAAGGAAGTCTCAGGCGGGAGCCTCGTCTCTGAGTGATTTGCGAGGAAGTCTCAGGCGGTAGCCCCCTCCCTATGGGGCCCGCAAATCATTTCACTAATCCGAACGGGTCGTCGGATTCTTGTAACTGTCGTCAATGTTTGGGCTCCTCAGGCTTGAATATGAAGGAAGTCTCAGGCGGGAGCCTCGTCTGTGAGCGAATTGCGAGTGAATTCGTGTTCCCAGAACACCACTCCCAGGCCACATTTTGAATGCCCGGAGCCAACTGTAGGCCACTTCGTGTTCGTCGTGTTCCCAGAGCGCTTTTCCCGGCACGTATCCACTGGGACACACCCCTGTGCGTTTCCTGTGGGTCGTGCCCCCGCACGTATCCACTGGGACGCACCCTGTGCGCTTCCCCTGGGTCGTGCCCCCGCACGTATCCACTGGGACGCACCCTGCGCGCTTCCTCTGGGTCGTGCCCCCGGCACGTATCCACTGGGACGCACCCCTGTGCGCTTCCTCTGGGTCGTGCCCCCGCACGTATCCACTGGAACGCACCCTGTGCGCTTCCTCTGGGTCGTGCCCCTGCACGTATCCACTGGGACGCAACCTGTGCGTTTCCTTTGGGTCGTGCCCCCGCACGTATCCACTGGGACGCACTCCTGTGCGCTTCCTCTGGGGCGTGCCCCCGCACGTATCCACTGGGACGCACCCTGTGCGTTTCCTCTGGGTCGTGCCCCTGCACGTATCCACTGGGACGCACCCCTGTGCGTTTCCTCTGGGTCGTGCCCCCGCACGTATCCACTGGGACGCACTCCTGTGCGCTTCCTCTGGGTCGTGTTCCGGCACGTATCCACTGGGACGCACCCTGTGCGCTTCCTCTGGGTCGGGTTCCGGCACGTATCCACTGGGACGCACTCCCGTGCGTTTCCTCTGGGTCGTGTTCTGGCACGTATCCACTGGGACGCACTCCAGTGCGCTTCCTCTGGGTCGTGCCCCCGGCACGTATCCACTGGGACGCTTCACAGTACGATCTACATTCGCTCTTTTGAAGCAGTCGATATGGCAGGCATTTTCGCATGCGTCTTGCCGGCCCACGTCGGCATGGAGGTGCGGTTCACGGCAGCGCAGGAAGAGTTGAAGAAGAGGTTGTGGCTCGTGCAGGAGCAACGGGCCATCATCGTGTCTTTCGAGTTTCACGCAGACGACGAGCGGGACTACGAAGAGTGCGCGCAGGGCCAGCTCTTCCGCCCCCGCTTCCTACCGCAGGGAATCTGGCTTCAGGTGCACGGTTTCAAGGAGTCTCCGATCGACCAGGAGGTCGCCGAGGTGCTGCTGCATGGCGCCGAGGGCGCTGACGACGACTGCCAGGCCGAGGCGCGGGCGCGGAGCTTGCTGATGTTCAGGCCTAGCGAAAGGGAGCTCACGTGGCAGAGCTCGGGGGCGCACAAGGTGCGCCGCTCGGGGTTCACCCTGACGCACGCGCCCTACCTGACCTCCACGCTGTCGCAGGGCCAGACGCTGCGCAAGGGCGTCACCGTCGACTGCGCGAGAGACGAGGACGCTGGCCGCACGGGCATGTCGGATGAGCAGCGGTGGTTGCACTTCTACGTCATGTTCTCCCGCGCCACGCGCATGCGGAACACGCTGATCCTGCGGCCGCCGCTGCGGGAGTTCCTGGAGCGAGGGCCGCCGGCGCCCTTGCGGAAGTCGCTGCTGGAGTTCGACAAGAGAGCGGTTTTGTCCAGGGCGGAGGCGGAGCAGCTCGCGGCAAAGCTGGGCATCGTGCCGCCTCCCGCCTGAGCGTGGCTGCGCCCCGCTCGAAGCCCGCGGGGTTGTCCCAACGGTTTGGTTTTGCGCGCCAACGGCTCGCGGGGTTGCCCCGACAGCCTGGCCCGCGGGGTTGCCCCAACGGCTGCGCGACGCGGCCATCAGAGAACGCGCCAGTCCAGTGCTGGCCGAGGCGGCGACGGCGCCGAGGAACATCGACTTGCTTGCCCCGCCCAGGGGGAGGGGGAGGTGCACGTAGAGAAGCGGCAGGAGGAAGATGAGGAGGGGGAGGGTATGGGGGAGGGCGATGATAAGGAGGAGGTGGAGAAGGAGGAGGGAGAGGTAGACGGAGGGGGAAGGGAGAAATAAAAGAAGGAGGGAAAAGAGAGGGCAGAGGAGAGGGTGAGAGGAGGGTGTTTGCCATGGCCAGGAGGAAGGGGAGAAGGGCACGCAAAACAGATTATCATGCGGGGTCCTTCCGTCGGAGTAATTGGCTGGCATCGGAGCTGAGGGCTGGCATCGACTTGAAGACATCGATACGATAAAATAAGACATCGATACAGTAAAATGAAACGTAAAAAATGTGTGGCTCACCCGTTGGAAATTCAAAATATTGCTGGCTTTCTGATCATACTTCCCGGGCTCGTGGGTCGATCATTTTCCCGGAAAAGACTGTGGCCCAGGGTTCTCGTTCACATAAGAGAATCATCTCCCTGGCAGAACCCCGGCAGATTCTTACGTGATAAATACTTGTGTGAAGTCCACATCCGCCATCGACGAGGCTCACTTTCCGCAACCCCTAGGCCACTTGCAGAGAGCAGGCGCTTTTTCACTTCGAGTTT